CCTAGTCTTAAATAAAATTACGCCCTTTCCACAACTAAAGTTGGCTGCAACATATCCGCTGCTAACTATGGGTATATTACGTGGAGGTGAGGCCTCAATCTTATCCAAGGTGCAGCTCTCATTCCACTGTCTGAAAGCTCAAAACTCAAGGGAAAGACGGCTATACAATGAGACAGTTACTGGAGCCATCTGACTTAAAAATCTGCACTTTCTGCTGAAGAGGGAGATGGTGCGCTTATGGAAATGTTTCGAATGCATTGGTGTTAATTCTAAATTTCACAATGTCTGAAAGCTGGGAGAACGATGATTTGTTTCCCTAACCAGCCACTGTGGCAATCAATTTCTCTATCTATCTATCTATCTATCTATCTATCTATCTATCTATCTATCTATCTATCTATCTATCTATCTATCTATCTATCTATCTATCTATCTATCTATCTATCTATCTATCTATCTATCTATCTATCTATCTATCTATCTATCTATCTATCTATCTATCTATCTATCTATCTATCTATCTATCTATCTATCTATCTATCTATCTATCTATCTATCTATCTATCTATCTATCTATCTATCTATCTATCTATCTATCTATCTATCTATCTATCTATCTATCTATCTATCTATCTATCTATCTATCTATCTATCTATCTATCTATCTATCTATCTCTCTCTCTCTCTCTCTCTATCTCTATCTCTCTCTCTCTATCTCTCTCTCTCTCTCTCTCTATCTCTCTATCTCTCTATCTCTCTATCTCTCTATCTATCTATCTATCTATCTATCTATCTATCTATCTATCTATCTATCTATCTATCTATCTATCTATCTATCTATCTATCTATCTATCTATCTATCTATCTATCTATCTATCTATCTATCTATCTATCTCAATCTATATATCTCAACCCCCCCCCCCCCCCCCCCCCCAGTCTACAGTTTTGCAAAGTTATTATTCATACTTTTTTGCTCTGATTAGAAGTCTCTCAATTTAACTGTTTAATGCTTATGTCTCACATGTATGCAACAGTTAATGTGCTTCCTCTCTTCTTCTCCTCCTCCTCCTCCTTCTTCTTCTTGTCCTTCTTTTTCTTTTCCTTCTTCTTCTTCTTTTTCTTCTTCTTCTTCTTCTTCTTCTTCTTCTTCTTCTTCTTTCTCCTTGTCCTTCTTTTTCTTTTCCTTCTTCTCCTTCTTCTTCTGCTTCTTCTTCTTCTTCTTCTGCTTCTTCTTCTTCTTCTTCTTCTGCTTCTTCTGCTTCTTCTGCTTCTTCTTCTTCTGCTTCTTCTGCTTCTTCTTCTTCTTCTTCTTCTGCTTCTTCTTCTTCTTCTTCTTCTTCTTCTTCTTCTTCTTCTTCTTCTTCTTCTTCTTCTTCTTCTTCTTCTTCTTCTTCTTCTTCTTCTTCTTCTTCTTCTTCTTCTTCTTCTTCTTCTTCTTCTTCTTCTTCTTCTTCTTCTTCTTCTTCTAGTACTACGACTAATTCTTCTATTTCTTCTGCTTCTTTGTCTTCTTCTCTTTCTTCTTCTTCTTCTTATTCTTCTTCCTCCTCCTCGTGAGCATGCATCTTTTGCAAAGCGGTCAGCACGTTGTTCTGTGGTTTTCAGCTAGCCAACAATATCAGCGTTATTCGTTCCAACACATCTGACTTCTGCAAACCCCTATTTAGTGTCCTCTAACAACATGCTTGTTAGGGGCCTTTCTTGTTTTCCGTAAAGTGGGTGCCCCAGAACCCACACGGACACCTAGAGAGGAAATCTGGAGAGGACCATGTAATTACTCTATGAAACACATGTGTGACTGTTGTTTTGGTTTCGTTAACAAATAAGTGGCGGGAGAAGGCTTGGGGGGGGGGGGGGAATTCACCCACACTGAACTACATGTTACTGCTTAATCGTGTTGTTGTACCCCAAAATAACTGTACTATTGGCTATACTCTGACTTTTTTTTCCTTTAGAAATGACCTTGACTCCCAAGTCGACCCAGACTTGAGTGGGTACCAGGTGCAGTCTTGAGAAGTGAAGGCGGCCGGTGTAATGCTGACCGCATCACCCACCAAGTGCCGATTGGTCTATAAAAATATAGGTCTTGCCCTATATGCCCAATACGCCCAAATGGACGTTTACTTTTTTTTTTTCTATTCGGCTATACTGTTGAACGGGTTTGCCGAGTGCTAGTACCCGTTTATTCTCATCCTTGAGATTTTAATCCTACAGAATGTAAATCCGGAAGGGAAAATGAATTTGTGCAATATTGTTGATCCCTGGACATTGTCGCTGGAGCTACAGAATTCGTGCTCTTTGCGGCGCTCTCAGCCGTTCTGCGGAGAGAGACAGAGCCTTATAGGATAAAACTTGGTGCAATGAAGTTGATCCTCGATCCTCTTGATTTTAACTTTTAACCTTTTTTTTTATATGCATTCCAATACAGACGTCATTATAACTGGCCAAGTGGCCTCCAGAAATGTCTCAATGCCACGTAACTAATAATTAAATAACGGATCATTCAATTTCATCTTTCCTGTTCCCCTACGACCCGGCGCGTGCTCGTGCGTGCACCAACACACACACACACACACACGCACTCACACAAATCCCTCAAAGCAGTGGTGTGTATAAATGCCCAGGGTGAATCCAGTTTGGTCGTTCTCCGTTCTCAGCGTTAGATCTAACAAAGGTTTTCAAGTTGCGTAACCCCGGAGAACTGTTTCGTGAAAGTTGTAGTTTTAGGTAAGTGCTTAAAATACTTTCCATAGTAATTTTTTTTTTTAATGTTTTTATTTTATTTTTTTATCTTAACTTGTTTGGGCTCCTATACAAAGTGAACATGATGGTGGTGGCCTCGTAGGCTCACTTATAATTTTCTAGTTGCGAGGGCTCAATGGGATCTAAGCCTTGTTTAGGCGCCCAAAAGTGATGTTAATAAAAAGTAAAGAACCCTTTTCAACGCCTTTCAAGCCTATTGGATGTACCTATATTTGATAGATCAATCGGCACTAGTGGATGATGTGGTCAGCATCACACAGGCCGCCTTTACTCCACAGGACTGCACCTGGTCCCCACTCAAAGCTAGGTCGACCTGGGAACCAAGGTCATTTTTGAAAAAAGTCTGCCTCCGTCAGGGAGCGAACCCACGACCTTTCGACCACCCGCAGGCGAGCATCCAACCGCTACGTGAAGGCGACTCCCGATCATAATAATAATTATTATTATTATAAAATTATCTCAATATGTGCGAAATGACAACTAAATATAATAATATATTTTAAATATTGTGAAATGTATTTTTTTTTTAAAATACTTTAAAGGAGAACTTGTATACATTGTAATTGTTGTGGGAGGCGAGAAAAGATTTTAAAAGGGGGAGGGGCGCTTAAAATTATATCTGCCTGTTCATTACCCACCACGCCGGCATAGCCTGGAGAAAAGATCCAAAGTACCCGTGACCTTTCCAGTAAAGCTTGCCACTCTGCTCGAAGCATCACCGTCTTCACCTTTCTCGGCATGCTTTCAGAATCTGTTACAATTACGACATGTGTATGCATCTTGTTCTCTAGCCACTGGAGAGCTGCAGTTACCGCCTCCACCTCCATTCTCATGCTAGACGTTGTAGTGTCATATGCCAGACTATAAACGACAAACAATCATTAACTAGTGCCTGCACAGAAAAGAGGGAATTAAATGGTACGATAGAATCACCAGTGTAGAGCTTTGGGAGAGAACTAAATAAATTCCATAGACCAAGAAGTGAAAAAAAAAAAAAGATGTTGGCGTTGGATAGAACACACGTTAAAAAACCCAAGAACAATATAACTAGAATGTCTTTACACTGGACCCCATAAGGGCATAGAAATAAAGGCAGACCAAAAAACTCATGGAGAAGGGAGCTAGAGAGTGAAGTTAGGCAGACGGGGAGGACACGGGGATACCTGCATGCGATAGCGAAGGATGAAATGACGTGGTGTGAGTTGGTTGAGGGCCTATGCTCCACTGGGGGTTAGAAAGGCAGAAGAAGAAGAATGCCTTGTGACAAGATACCATACAAAGCATACATGGAAAGAGAAGAAGGACGTAGAGCACGAGGTAGACCAAGAACAAGATGGAAGGATAACATGTGCCTATGGTCGAGGCGGCGAGAAGAGCTAGAAACAGAACCTTATATCTCCCTCGACACAAACAGCGGTAAAAGAGGAAGTGAAGAAAAAGAAGAAGAAGTTGCCACACACTTAGAGGCATCCTAAAGATGGGATCTTGTGGGCTTGTGTGCTTGAACAATGCGCTATGAGCATAATCTGTCGATTAACCAACCAACTGTATCAAAACAAACTAAAAGTTGAAATAGTCAGCTTTACATTATCACAAACACAAATGACAAGTGAGCGTTGTGGCTAGAAAACCTTCATCAGTATAGTATATTAATTTACAATACCACAAATAGAAACAAAAATAAACAGAATCCCTTCATTTATGAATCTGCGAAAGAAATCACATATTTGTCTGACCAACTGAATCTCTGACACCCACGTGACAACCGGAAATAAATACTAGCAAGAAAAAAGATGGTTATTAGGTGGCTTCTGGTGTGCGTGTGTTTTCGAATGTTTATGAATTGTGGGTAAGTTTATGTGTGTAAGTATGCGCACGTTTGTGTGTATGCACGCATGTATGTATATTTAGATGTATGCGTTTTTCATTATTGCTGTTGTAATATTTCCGCGACACTCATACTAAGTATTTTGCTATTTAAACAAAACACACTTTGTAGATAAAAAATACATTTGATGTTTGAAAGATGAGTGCCTGGAAGAGCCGAATGCAAGACAGGCCTGGTTGACCTATTTGTGACCCTCGGAAGAAAACAGTTTAGTTTTTTGTTTTTTTTTTCGTTCTCTGTGCCCTAATTTTAGAATTAGCCGAATTGATCATAAAAAAACTAAAAGATACTCATTACAACAAGTGAAATGGCGAAAATTTAAATGTTTTACATTTTTTTTGCTCCAGAGATGGACTTTTTCAGATTCTGCCTATGTGCTTCCTTGGCCATTTCCTGTTTGGTCCAGATGGCTGCGTCCGTGCCTCTGGTTGTGGATGTTGACTTTGATTTCGATACAGATTCATCTCTCAAGAATATAGAGGACATGGGTATTTTTTTAAAGGCAAAATTCGGCTATCCTCCGAATAACGGGCACACATTATGACGCCCAAAAAGAGAGTGAGCGGCTTGCGGAATACTCTCGGCGGTGGCGGTAGTCGCCGTAAAACCGCAAATTAGGTCGCCGGTAGTACACAAACGACACGTGACTGAAGCTCTGTTAGGTATTTTGCAGCCGCCATAATATGTGCCTGTTATTCGGAGAATAGCCCAAAATTCTTCTTTTTCTCTTTCCTAGTCATATTCTGTCTTTCAGCCTCAGGATTTAAAGACGTATTTGGTCAGTGGCGAGGCATGATCAATTCGCACATGTAAATATTAGCAGGGAAAGGTTACACTGGAGAGGTTATCCCGTGATATTTTCTCCCTCGTTGCTTGGCAGTTGAGAATATGCATGCACAGCTAGCACTGTAGGGCTTGTAACTGGTAACTTTTGCACATTACACTTTCTGTGTAAATGACGTAGGCATGCAGCGAGCATTCTTTGTGCTTTTTTCGAAACGTAAACTGAGTGGAGCATGAATAATATATATTAAAAATAAAGTTTAAAAAGTAAAGGACCCTTTTCCACGCCTATAGGCAAATATATGGCATATAGGGCTAGGCCTATATTTTTATAGACCAATCGGCACTAGATGAGTGATGTGGTCAGCATCACACCTACCGCCTTTACCTCCTGGGACTGCATCCGCTACCCACTCAAGTCTCGGTCACGGTCATTTTTTTTTAAAGTTCTGCTCCGCCAGGAAGCGAACCTACGACCATCCGATCCGCACGCGAGCGTCTAGCCGCTTCGCCACGGCGACTCCCAATATTCTTCTTATTCGCATTCATCATCTGTAAACTCTGGCGGAAAGTTCTGCTTGTTCATCCACTTCTGGACTGCAGTCCTGTTCCAGAACCTGGGTTTTGCATGTGCATCCGTTTTACAGATCTGACTCATTTGTATGCAGACTTACAGCATTCCTTTTGGGTGTGCCGTGGGTTTATTCCTGTTTTCCAAATAATAGGACCCCAAAACCCACACCGGGAACTTACTACTTAGTCGCTCCTCTTCTACCTTGGGGTGTAGAGGTTTGCCAGAGAGTTCGCCAGACGTCTCTATCAGCAGTTTTCTTTCTGGCTTTGTTCCATTCCAGTCCTCTGTCAGTTAGGGACTGTCGGATGTTGTCTTCCCAGCGCACCCTGGGTCGTCCCGGAGGTCTGGTTCCCTGGTTCTTAGCCTCCCATGCTTGCCATGGTGGCCGATTTTCTCCCATTCTGCATACATGTCCAAACCATAGTAACTGTGACTGATCTACTCGGGTTAGTAAGGGCTGGGTATCAAGATCTTGACGTATTGTCTGATTGCGGACTTTGTCCCTTCTTGTCACTTGGACCACCTTTCTCAGGTATCTCATTTCCGAGGGGCCCACACCGCGAACTCCCAGTATTAATTATGAAATAGTAAAATAAATTTTCTTTAGAAATGGGAAGTTTAAAGCCGTTAGAGGCATGCCTCGCCACTGTCTCTGCTGCAAGCTTTGGTGTATGCAACGCAGAGGCTGGTACTCATGCTGGTATTTACGCTAATGGATAACATCCGATTTTTACTCGTGTGGGTTCCGGGGCCCTTTTATAAGGAAAACAAGAATAGACCCACCGCCTAACCAAAATAATGTTGTAAGAGTCGACTAACTAGGTGCTTCCTTCGAAGTCAGAGTGCATCTGCCTGAGAGGCAAGGAACCAACAGTCTGCACACAAATGAGTCAAATATGTCGAACGGATGCACACGCAACACTGAGGTTTTGAAACAAGACTGCAGTCCAGAAATGGAAGAACAACCAGAACTTTCGGCCTGAGTTTACAGCCGGTGAACGCGAAGAAGAAGAAGACATCCGATGGATGTATCACAGAGCTAAAGAACAGAATAGGACAGGTCAAAACTGCTTTTTATCAAATGAAGAAAATTTTGTACAATAAATTCATGTCCTTGGATGTTAGGAAAAAGAATGTTCACATGCTATATAGAGCCAGTTTTATCCTATGGCTGTGAATCCTGAACAGTTTATAAACAAGCCGAACAATACAGTGAGACCTCAGAGATGTGGTTTGTTTTACAAAAGAATCTTTAGAATTCCTTGGACAGCTAAGAAGAGCAACCCAGATGTTTTGAAAGAGGCGAGAGCCCAAGACAACTTATCATAGACATCAGAAACAGTCATCATTTGACGGTCATGTAATGAGAAGAGTTAAAATGGAACATGTTGTAACCACTGAAAACGTTTATGTTTATTCAACGGATCAGTATCTTAGCACACGGGTGTAACCCATAAGTGATCCATTCTTCTAACTCAAGCCTGAAGATTCTCAGCGCAGTGCACGAACTCTGTTGCACCGGCGAGAAAACTCAAATACTTTGGTTAGATGTTTAACTCCAAATTTTGCTCGGGCAACGCCGTTAGGCTATTCTTTTCGATTTCCAACTGCGTCATGGTGGCTTGGAAAAGACGGTGATGGATGGTGCAGTTTGTGGAAGGTGAGGCAGGGGTCGACCACCGCAAATATGGATACAAGACATTGAAGATGCATTGCCATTGAAAGCACACAGGGCTAGAGAGCTGGCTAGGGAAAGGGATACTTTCAGGCGAACCGTGAAGGACTTGCTAATTGATGATGATTATGTCACATGTACAAGTATAAACAAAAGCTAAAACGAAAACTTCTAAACGTGGTGTGTTGGAGGAAAGGAAGGGCCGGGGGGTGGAGGTCGAGGGGGGTTTAGTCCTCTTAAAATGTGTATGGGTCATCATCAAGTACCTTGCCGACTGGCGTGGGTGATCATGCCCTTTCACAATCTGCACAACAGCGTGTATCAGTTCGCGTATTGGAAACATCTCCATGCCATGTCAAAAGGCTGTCAAGAATCTTTTCATTCTGTCTTCCTCTGTCTCTCTTTCCACAGATCTTTCCAGTGGTCACAACATGTTCAGTTTACCCTCTTCTCATAACATGATGTTTGTGATAAGTTGTCTCCGAGCACTCACCTCTTTCAAAACATCTGAGTGGCTCTTCTTAGCTGTCTAAGAAATTCTAAGGGTACTTTGTGGGTAGAAGAGGAGAATGTATTTTTTGTGGGGGAGGGGGCCTCAAGGTACCTACACCCGCAAGTCTTGGCTTCTCAGTATGATACATACAGTTGTTTGTTTGTTTTTAATTTTTTTTTTCATTTTTCTCTAGGTACACTTGAACCTAAGGACATTAAAGATGTATACGACCTCGCATTACTTCCGAATCGTGCTCGCAGAAACATAGCCCAACTGATTACGGGAGCTATCCAATACAACCCAAGTGCAACCAACAGATTCCGCCAGTCTCTTCGCCTCATCCCTAAACAGAACGTCCCTCCTGCAGTCACTGAGTAACTCTGAAAGATTCACTTAAGTTAGATCGTATTATATAGCTCACACAACTTTGTTCAGAATTTAGGAAAGGATATAAAACCGAACGAAAAGTATATCAGAGAGCTTCAAAATATAACAAACACAAATAAAACGTGAACGTCGCTGCTGTGAAGCCTTCTTCAGTACATACATAGATTAGACAATACAAAACAAATACACAGTATCACTTATCTTCGTATCTCCTGGCAGCCAGGTCAATGTCAAGACAATAGTTTTGATAATAGTCTGTTCAGAATTTAAAGACAAAACAAACTGAAACAAATAACACTGATAATAGGACATAATGTATTAGATGAAATTATTGATTTTGCCTTAAAGTTTAACAAGTCACTAAAGTTGTAGACTTTCTTCTTATTCTTCTTTTGTCTTACTGCTTATGTTATTTTAAAAATAGGGCCCTGAAACTCACGAGAAGAGATTATCCATTATAAGTCTAGGTAATAGAACAGATCAGAAGCAGAGGCAGGAGTCGATCAGGGTAATTGTGGGCAAAGACATTGAGTACCTATTTATGTGGTGAAAATGTCAAGGAAGATTCTTACAAATCTTAAATGTTAAGATTCTTCTTGTAAATGACCTACTGCAAGGTGATGGTAGTGATGATGAAGAACCAAAATGATAGAACTACTCTAAATACTTACAATTTCTAGAACAAGCCTTTTTTTTCCAGTTCTTTAAATCCTCAGGACGGACTCCAGCAACAGTAGATCAACACAGGAGTCTCATCATCATCAAGTACCTTGTCAGCAGGCATGGGCGTTCATACATCTCCACAGATCTCGGTCTTTGGTGGTCTGGATCAATTCTGCTGATGATATTCCTCCATTCCATTGTCTTAAACCATCCACCATCGTTTCTCTTAGTCTACCTCTGCCTCTTCTACTAGTGATCTTTCCAGTCGTCACGATATTTTCCAGTGCTCCTTTTCTCATCTATTGACTAAAGAACTTTGATTGTCTCCTTCTCATTGTTGTGTATAATGTTCTACTTTCATTAGCCATTTCCAGGCAATCATTGTTGGTTACTCTGGTAGTCCAAGGTATTCTCAACATTCTGCACATTCCAAGATTCACCACCATACATGAGAACAGGCTCGATAAAACATTTCAATATTTGTTTTCTGATGTTTAATGAGAGTGATTTATTATATAAAATACTTTTCATATTCTGAAAAGACAGAAGTCTTTATATATATATATATATATATATATATATATATATATATATATATATATATATATATATATATATATATATATATATATATATATATATATATAATGACAAGGTAACACTGCTGATAATGGCCATAATACGGTTGATATCCTGTACTTTTATTTTTATAATTTTCACTGTTTCTAGCAACGGGTTGTCCTTACACGTATGTACTTTCTGAAATGAAATAGGAAAATGTGCTTCTTCTGTGAGGAAAAGGACTAAAATGAGATATTTATGTGAACTTTATGGCAAACAATAATAAACAAGTGTAAAGAACAATGAGCATGTTCTGTTTTAACTATTTCTATGCCAAAGAAGTCACAGCATCCTCATTTGATTACTCTATGTACAGTATTTGTTTCCTGATTTATTTTTTAAAGCCATTCTTCAAGTAAATAATATGTTTAAATCACCACTGATCACAGAGCAAATAGACTGAAATGGTTGGGGCATATTAAAAGAATGTCAGATGACAGAGAAGTAAAAACTGTATACACGAGGAAGATGAATGGTCATAGACCACGAGGCAGACCAGGAAGACGATGGAGAAATAATATCCAGACAGACCTGCAAACACTTGGTGCACCAACTCGAAAAAGAAGGCTAACCAGAGAGATGAATGGAGCAGGTGATATCTGCAGCAATAAACCTCAAGGGCTCAGAATACTGAAGAAGAAGAAGAAGAAGAAGAAGAAGAAGAAGAAGAAGAAGAAGAAGAAGAAGAAGAAGAAGAAGAAGAAGAAGAAGAAGAAGAAGAAGAAGAAGAAGAAGAAGAAGAAGAAGAAGAAGAAGAAGAAGAAGAAGAAGAAGAAGAAGAAGAAGAAGAAGAAGAAGAAGAAGAAGAAGAAGAAGAAGAAGAAGAAGAAGAAGAAGAAGAGAAGAAGAAGAAGAAGAGAGAAGAAGAAGAAGAAGAAGAAGAAGAAGAAGAAGAAGAAGAAGAAGAGAAGAAGAAGAAGAAAAAAGAAGAAGAAGAAGAAGAAAAGAAGAAGAAGAAGAAGAAGAAGAAGAAGAAGAAGAAGAAGAAGAAGAAGAAGAAGAAGAAGAAAAAGAAAAGGATTCTCTAAGTACATTAACCCGTTTTGTCACAATGGTTCTTTAACTAGTTCTGTCCCACAATCGTGCTGTTTTAACTCAGAAAGACCCAAAGTGCACAGAAGGTAACCTTTTACCTCTCAGATTTCTCAAATAAAAATGTAAAATAGCTAACGGGATTTATACAATTTGCTCCTTTGATTCACATTTTGAGTCAGTGGGTCCAAATCTTTCAGGCTGAAATAGATTTTAAAAAGGCAAGATCTAAACGAGGACTATTTAACTAGCATCATTCGGGCAGCAGTGATCTAGCAAGTGGCCAGTAAATCATTGCCAATTGTCTTGAACTGATGCTCTTTCTTATGCTTGGGCTCTAGCCTCTGATCCTGTCGATCCTATTTAGCAATTTTGACCCCTGAGTAAAATTAGTTAAATAGCTTGTCTCTAATGAATGACGAATCACTGTCTAAATTTACTGCATTTACAACTAAATCAGAACACTTATCAAGGGAAAACACAAGAAATTGCGGAGAGAACAAACTAACAAACAGTAAACATCCACAAGACCCTATCAGGAAACTCAATAGAAAGCAACATACGAAAATTTTTCATCTATGAACAGGACACTGCAGGCTCAATTAACACATGCATAAAAAAAGATTGTACAGTCCCCACAGTGTGCCTGTCAGACAGGAGCACGTTCTGCAGACCTGCCCACTCTACCAAGAACTTCAAAAAGACACCTGGCCTTAAAAGCAAAGCGTGCAGGGCAAGCTATGGAGAACAATGAAGGACCTGCTGCTGACATGCGAGTTCATAGAGGCAACCCACCTGATGGTCTGATCTGAGCATGTGAAACTGAACGTAAAGAAGAAGAAGATATACTGTGTCATCCTCAGTTCCATCTGGGACATTTAAATTGCCACACTTTTTGAATTATTTGACAACGATCTCAATCTTCACTTTTTTTTTTCACCCTGATACAAACTTCGGCTATCTTCCGAATAACGGTCCCAAATTATCGAGGCCGAAAATAAACCCTAACAGAGCCTTAGTCACGTTTCAATTGAGCACTTCCGGCGACTTAAATTGCGCACTTTCGGCGACTCCCGCCACTGCTGAGAGTATCCCCCACGCCGCGTGTGGATTGGGGCTAAACTTGATAGCTGGGACTCACGAGCAGCAGCTACCGCATCTCCTGCAGCTTCCTTCATTTTATTTGCTCGTTGAGTCCCAGCCATCTAGTTTAGCCCCAGTCCACGCCGCGTGAGCGGCGTGTAGGATATACACTCGGCGGTGGCGGTATAGTCCCCGGAAGTACGCAATTCGGGGGAGGCGGTATAGTCCACGGAAATGTGCAATTGACACGTGACTGAGACTGTTAGGGTATATTTTCGGCCTCGATAATTTGGGACCGTTATTCAGAAGATAGCCCAAACTTCTCCTATAGTTGTTTTTTTTTTTTTTTTTTTTTACACTTCCTGTTGATGTAAAATTGTTCCATGAAGACTGTCGCCCCTGAACCTGCATTCCTAAATGAGGCCCTGTACAGGATATTTTCTAACAAATCATTTGGTAAAAATCGACTACCATTGTATGAGGCATACACTGTTTTTAGACCCTCTATTTTTAGAATGTAAGTGCATTTTATACTTGGGGAATTATGATAAACACTATAAAACAGACTGGAAAAATAACTTGTACCAAATTCATTAGGAAGAAGTTAAAATAATTCTTTAGAATGCAGTCACAATGGTTACCAATAAAAGTGTTACACCAAAAGAGATCTGATATGAGAACAGGAGTGCCGAAGAAGAAGATGGATTGATAGCATTAAAGACACTGTACATCCACATGTACTAGCCAGCCGTGCTCTGTGCAGAGTGGCAAGCATCATTTCAGAGGTCCTGTGTAGTTAGCATCCTTTAGATATTTTCTCTAGGTCATACCGCTGTGTCGGCTCTGTAGCTAAGTCGATGCGAACGCTTCGTAATGCCAGGGTGCCGGGTTCGATCCCATCTGCAGGCCATGCGCCTTGCGTTGGTTTCGACAGTGGTATCAGGGGGCCGACCGTCCACAAATAAAAAATGGCAAATTACTGGACGTAAATTTGCCTAGAGTAACCACACAACAGCCAGGGGCTGGTGGGGTTGGTTCCGCAACGTCCTGTAAAGGATACGCAACTAGCCATACCGGTGTGTTGGGGAAACAAAACAGACTGGCTGGTTCTACATCACAGTGGTAGCTAGATTTGTGAAGGTCCTTTGGGAGAGAGTGAACAATGGGGAGGCACAGATAGATTATTACGGTCTGAGGAGAATGGTGCTGCAAGGAGTAGCCAGGGGATCTGGCCGATGTCAACACTCAAGGAAAAGGCAACACAGAAATACAGTTACCGGTGCCATCAGAACTGGAACTCTTCGCTTGCTGCTGAAGATGTGGATGGAGTGCTTAAGGCAGTGTCCCAAGTGCTGTGATGTTGATTCTTATTCAACATGTACTAGCCATACAGCCCCAAATAAAGTAAGTAAAGTAAAGGATCCCTTTCTATGCCTTCAGGCGTATTGGGCATATAGGGCTAGACCTCTATTTTATGGACCAATCAGCACTTGGTGGGTGATGTTGTCAGCTTACACCGGCTGGGTCGACCTGGGAGCCAGCGTAAATTTTGAAAAAATAAAGGATAGCCCTTAATCCTCAGGCTTAAAGAC